ATTATCAGTAACCCGAATTTCTCTTTTAGCTTTGACCAAGGACTCATATTTTTGGTTAAACAATTATCAATGTTAGTCATCTTTATATAAGCTGATGCTATAACTGAGAATCTAAAGAGCCTTTTTTAGCATTGTCACTAATTTGTCCAATGAATAATTCCTTTTACTTATTTGTATTGCTTTCAATTCTCATATATTACTACTGTTATTTACTTATAAAAGATTAAGTTTGTATTTTGACATGCTTAGATTTTTCTGTTCTTCACTTTTCCTTTGGACTTTAAATTTTTATAGTTGAACGAAGGGGTCATTATGTTGTTAATGGATTTCCATTACATTGCTTATATTGCTATTACGATATGCTTTTCTTGTGAAGTTGTTAGATCAATTTTATTACATGATTATGGGAAGCTGGTGCAAATGTTTTCTTATTCACAATTGCAGAATGGCTTGAGCTAAAAGAGGTAGCAAAACCAAGAGCTATGTCCCCAAATGAAGGCTCAAGGCAAGGCCTCATTTGGCACCGGTGTCTCCGCTCATGTGTGTTATTATAACATACTTCATGAGCTTATGCTTGCTTTTTTTTGTGTGTGAAGTTAAGTAGTGTAATTAGTGTGTCTTTCTTTGTGTGCATTTGTGTGAAATAGGAGATGATATTTTGTGAAAGTTTACAAAAAATAATTAAAAACACTTTTTAACCTTTTAAGCGTAGTCCTCTGCAAGGAAAACACATTATACATAATCGGAATTCTGAAAGTAAAACATCAATGACAACCATTTTTTACTGAATTTTTTGGAAAATTAACTGATATTAGAGTGATGTCTATACTCCTGGCATTACTCTTAAAAGGAGTGATAGATATCTAAAGTGTTGTGCATTAGTTTCTTTTGCAGATAAGGAAACTTGATGACTCTCTCTTTCACAATCAGTTCTCTCAAGCGTCTATTCCCTGTCAGTGGTAGAAATCCTGGATCCAGTGTTGTATTTATGCATTAATTTAAAACAGTTATCTACTCCTTAGGTAGAGGAGTATGATAAGAGACATAGCAAAAGTTATTCAAGAAGCAGGAGTCCTCGACGGAGCTATAGCAGCCAGAGCAAAAGGTTTAGTTTCTGACTGTCTTTTTCATCAGCTTCAGAAAATTTAGCATGTTTACTGACAGTCATTCGGCAGTGTATCTCCTAGGGGTAAATACTCTCATCGCTCTGCGTCTCTCTCGCACTCCAGGTCTTTTTCCCCTGCTCGCTCTGTTTCTAGGTACTTTCTTTGTTTCACATCAAGGTTTTTATATTTCTCTTATGCTCTGCTAAATTAATCATGTTTCAAGATAGTTAAAGAAATAGTTAAAAATAGTTTTCATAGTCCTAATTCATGCTTCGTAGCATATGGGCATGTCCTATTTGAATTTTTTTTTGTAAGTCTATTGCTAGGTGCGGTGTGCTTGATAATGTTTTTCTTAGGATCCTCCTTTTCATTCGTTTGAGCAGTATCCCTTTTTTTGTGGTGTTTTTATGCTTTGTTTAATGGAGATTCTGTATGAGGAATCGGCAGTTTGACTGTACAGTGGAAATCTATGTTGAATTGGGAGTCTCTTTGTTGTTTAGATATTCAGCTCCTATTATCTTCGTGGTTTTGATTGGTTAAAGTAATGACACCATTGTTGGAAAAAGGGCTACTCACAATTTTCTATGCAGTTGTGTGTTTTTTATACTTATCTGGAGAATGAATATCATCATTCTTGGAGCTTTTATTTGCTTTTTCTTCTTTCTGCTCCATGCAAGACTTTGGGCCACATTTTTGGTTTCGGTGGCTCTGTCTGGTCATGATCAAGCACTTCTCATTGTTTGAAGTTCCATTTTCTGGAGATATGTAGAGTCAAAAAGACCCACTGTGTAATATCACCAAAATGTATATAATTAGACATCTAAAATGTCTCTCTTACTCACTGTGTAGTATCACCAAAATGTATAGAATTAGACATCTAAAATGTTTCTCTTTATCTTTCAAGAGCTACAGAAAGATAACATAATTACTGGAATTAGTAGGAATAGAAATGACCATATAATTATATAAAATTGGAGGGATATGAATTGGATACTTCGTGGAATAGATGGCTGAGGGATTGAGAATTTGGTGCTATTAGAATTACCAAGGAGAGAAGAATATAAGTTTTAGATTGGTCTGTTATGTTGGCAGTTTTGCAGCAGCAAGGAATCAGAGTCATACTATAATCAAGTCTTAAAGTTAAAAGATGTTCCAAGTCTTAAACTTGAATGTTGTTCCAAATCTTAAAACTTGAAAGTTGTTCTCAAACATCAGTTAAATCATAGATTAGCCTAGCCAGAAAGCTTACTATTACTACTTAGATGGTTAATTAGTTATTATTTTCTAATATTGTCAAAATATTTTGACGATAATGTGATTGGTTAATCTTATTTTTCACAGATAATGTATGAGGAGGCAAGTTAAGTTTTGAATGATGATCTTAGAAGTATAAGAACTGTTGCGCGTCATTTTTTGCAAAAGAGGTCTTAGAAATGTGCCACACGAAAGAGTGAAGGCCCATTGAATGCAAGAATAAAGAAATATTTATTAGCAGGTAAGCTTTGGTCTGTCATTTGCTTCTGTTCTTTTTATACGCAACCAGTTTTTACGCGGGAGCCTATCTTATTTAGAGTGGCAAAGTAAATTTTTGGGACATTTTCGTGCATCTTTGTTACCTCTTGTTACATATTTCCCTTTTTTCGGGGCAGGATTTAGTTAAAGCTTCATAAGAGGCTAATTTGTAGTATTTGCAGCCTGGCAATTTTTTCACTTCTGAGGATGGCATCTATATCCATGACCAGTCAAGCTCATTGGTGTCAAGTACGACCAGGAGGGGCCCTGTGTCAATATTTGCTATTCCAGACTAGAAATCAAGAAAAAAAGATTCTAAGTGATGATTTTGGTATGACACAGGACACTCTGAAGGGTAGTATCCAAGAAGGCCAGATGTTTAAACTTTTAGAGACCTTTGCTTGACCATTTGTTGTGGCAGGGTGAATTGACAGTGAATTATTGCAGATTTGCTTCCGTTTCTTCTCTATCTTCTTTCTCCTGAAAAAATAGTTACAGAGAGAATTTGCAGTATTGGGTAAATTATTGATTAGTATGAATGGCTGCAATTCATGAATTCTGGAGCATCTAGAGTTTAAGAGATGCGCTGATGAGCTTCTTAGTTGAGACATAAGTTCGACTTCCGTGTGTTGTGAAATGTAAAATTGCACGCCACGGCATTTGGAGTACCTTATTTTTCTCTTTTCCCCTAACATTTATCGTTAGGAGGCGACAAGACAGCTCGTAATGTTTTGTGGAGCTTACTCCGAGCATAGTTGATATTAGATTGTTCTTATCTTTTCGGACAATTTCTATATTGTTATCTTAAAATTTTATTCAATATCTAATTTGATATTAATTTAGATGCATCCATTTTTATAATCTGCAGGTTTATATTAAAACAAAGTTGATCAAAATTTATAATTTCAACTATCATGATATTGGGCCCGTGCTGGCACGGGCAATCCCCGTCTAGTAAATTTTAGAAGTCCTCACCAATATATTAAAAAATCATCAATCAAATATTCCTCTCGAATAAGCTAAATAAATCTAAGCATCAACATATTGCTACCAAAAGACCCTATCACAACTTTACAGCAAATTACATGCCCAAAGGAGCGCAAATACCAGATCTAACACTGACATAGTCTTCAAAAGAGAAACCTCTATCGTAGGCGTATTTTGTAAAAAAATATTTGCATATTTAGTAGTTTCTTCTGCTCGATTTTGTTATTTTTGAAATATATTGTTATTTAATTGGTTTTAATTTTTAAAAATAGAATAACCGAAATACTGAATTATAAATGTGTAAATATATAGGAAATTTTGTTTCATTTCACTCTGTTTCTACAGTGACTTGGTATCAAAAACAATATTGTATTGCTAAGTTTTCGAGGAAGTATTAATTGTTATTAATTGTGGTCACAAGTTTAATGTTTGTTCTAGATGAAGTAAAATTGAATTGTTATAATTAAGTATTAATTGTGATGACAATTTAATATTTAATTCTAACTTGGACTTGACAAAAATAAATATACACGCAATTACAATTTTTTCAACATAAATAATACTTATTAAGGGTAAAAAGGCAAACGACATTTTTCTAAGAGCCTTCGTGCGTTTAATGTAGTACTAGTATCCATAAACGTGCGTTGCACGTTAATAATGGCACACGATGATTTAAATATTTATTTATATGAAGGAACAATAAAATTTAATTAATGCGAGAAATTTTATGTATAATAATACAACAATCATCTAAATGCTGAAGCATTAGCATAATACATGAATTTAAAATAAAAAGACATCATCAAAACTGTCACGACTCCAGTTCGACCTCCGTGAACTATCGTGACGGCACATAGACTCTACGACTAGATAAGCCTAACAATTTTCGGAAAAAGGAAACAACAAATAAAAACTAGTAGAAACTGTGGATAAACATAATGAAAACGTTTAAGATGCCGCTCGGCATATACAAATATACACTCTCAACTGAAAAGATCTCCCAAAACCCGGAATCTCATGAAATCACAAGCTATGAATACTACATAGTGCTCTAACTCCAGAATGTCTAAATCAAAATAAGTACAAAAGTGCTATAACTATAAGAGAGAATGGGGAGGGACTCCTCGATCTGCGGACGCATCAAATATATCTCGAAGTCTCTGAAGAATCGCCTCGCCTCAAGGATAGTAGGGCTAAGTCGAAGAACCTGGATTTGCACACGAAAAACATGTGCAGGAAAGGGCGTGAGTACACCACAGCGGTACCCAGTAAGCACCAAACCTAACATCGATCGAGTAGTGACGAGGAAGGTCAGGGCCCTACCGGTCATATATATATAAAAAGAAATGAAACAGTAAGAAATAACACAGGATAATAAGAATAACAACAACTACAACAGAGAGAAAAATCACAGAAAGAATATAGCTCCACACAGAGATAACAATCGGGGATCTCCCAGGATACCGTCCTGTAGTCCCTAAATGTAAATATCCAGTGGATATTTCGGGTGTCGTCCCGTAGTCGAACTCATAGTACGCGGGGATCTACCGGAATCCCGATTCGTAGTCCCAAATGTAAATACCCAGTACTGGGGGAATCTACCAGGTGCAATCCCGTAGTTCCAATATAAAAGTGTAGTGGGATCTACCGGAATACAAATCCGTAGTCCCAAAGTAAACATGTAGGGGGATCTCCCGGGATATCGTCTCGTAGTCCCAAAGTAAACACACAGCAGCAACACGAAGAATATTCAATTCGATCCAAATTTCATGCCAAGGTAAAATAAGTATTTCTAACCTAGCATGCTGCACAGAATTCAAATAAAGTAGTTTAAGCAAGTAAAGTAATTAAGTCAATTAGACATGCTTCCCTAAGCTAACAGTAGGCTTAAATTGCAAGTAGTATAAACAGGGAAGAAAACACAGTTATAGTTCCTTAATGAAAACAAGATTTTCAATAATTAACACATGTACGCACTCGTCACCTCATGTACAAGGCATTTCATATATCAACAATACCAAATCCTAAGGGGAGTTCCCCCACACAAGGTTAGGCAAGCCACTTACCTCGAACCAACTCAATCAACTCGATATCACGCTCTTGCCACGAGTACTTGACTCCAAATGACCCAAATCTATTCAAAGTAATTGCATAATGTAAATATAACTTCAAGTAACTAATTCAACCAATTAATTCGAAGCTAACATGCGAAATTAAGAAAATCGCCCAAAAAGTCCCCAGGGCCCACATCTCGAAATCGGGTAAAATTTACAAAACTAGAATCCTTACACTCTCACGAGTTCATACATACCAAAATTATTCCAATCCACATCAAAATCTTGATCAAAACCCAAAATTAAGCCTAAGAACCTTTCCAATTTTTTCTCCAAATCTTCACCCCAAATTCGAATTTAAAAGGTGAATTTAAGCATAGATTCGTGGAAATTAATCAAAACTGAGTAAGAAGTATTTATCCAAAATACCCAGGTGAAAATCTCTCCAAAAATCGCCAATCCTCGAGCTCCCACGTCAATTTCCAAAGTTTGAGTTCAAACCCTCGATTCTGTCCATTTTTTTACCAGCAAATCCGTTTCTGCGGCCATGGGACTACACCTGCGGTCCCTCTTCTGCGACAAACGGATCGCACCTGCGACTTTTTATTAAAGTCCAGCTTTCGAACCTGCCGTTTCTGCGGTAACTGGGCCACATCTGTGGCCAAACCCCAAATCGCCTCAGACCGCACTTGCGATCCTCCAACCTCTTCTGCGGTGCCGCACCTGCAGTCACATACACGCAAGTGCGGTTATGACAGGTTCAGCCAACTTCAAATTTCTCCTAAGTCCAATTCAACTTCTGATAAGCACCCGAAACTCACCCGAGGCCCCCGGGACCTCAACCAAAAGTATGAACAAGTCATATACCACTATTCAAACTTGTACCAATCTTCAGAACACTCAAAACGGCATCGAATCATCAAAACACCCTCAGATTCATGCCTAAGGATTCCAAAACTTTCAATTTCTACTTTCGATTAAAAAGTCTATCAAACCTCGTCCGAATGGCCTAAAATTTTTGCACACACGTCCCAAATGACACAACGGACCTACTCCAACTTCCTAAATTACATTCCGACCCCGATATCCAAATCTCACTATCGAACTGGAAACTTCTAAAATTCAACTTTCGGCATTTCAAGCCTAATTACCTCCAAAACACAATCCGAACATGCCCCTAAGCCCGAAATCACCCAACGGAGCTAACGGAACCAACAAAATTCCATTCCGAGGCTGTCTTCATACTCATCCAACTACGGTCCAAATTCTAAAGTTTAAGCTCTCATTTAGGGACTAAGTGTCCCAAAACACTCCGTAACTCAAAATGAATCCTCCCGACAACTCACAATAGCAAAAAAAAAAAATACGGGGAATGCAGTTAATAGGGGAACAAGGCGTTAATTCTTAAAATAACCGGCCGGGTCATTACAAAAACTTACACAAATGATCAATTTTGTCATGTTTGTTAGATAATTATGTATTATATATAATTTAAAAGTATTTAATGTGATGGTATCTTAACGAACACTTCTTTGTGGACAATATTTTGTGTGTGTATATTTCCTCCTAATATTTTGGTTGATCTGACTTAACCAAAACTCGTGTTGTCGATCTTGATATCACTCTTGAAAGTGCAATATACTGTTGTTCGTGCAAGAAAACATATTGCGGTAAATATAGTCCAATATTTAGTATATTTGTCCTTAAGCTTTATTTATTATATTTGCAAAACATAAATATATTAAAAACTATTTTCACATAAATTTAAAGGATATTCCTTAGTTTCGAAAGACAAAAGTTGAATTTAGGGATAAAAATATATTTAGAAGCACATTGACTAGTATCATAATTTTTGCATGTATGACGTTATTATCAAAACTTCTATATATCATTTGTGTGCTATTACATGAGCTATTCGGTGTATCTAAATTTTCAGTAGCATGACGGACATATTTTTTTTCAAAATACAATAAGATATCCAGTATAATCCCACATGTGGGGTCTGGAAGATCAATTTTAACTTAGTCTATTATGTATACGGTGACACTAACATACGTAAGAAATAATAAATTTGACAACAAACATGTATGGTAGAAGGCCATTTGGTATTAAAGTATTTAAGTATTCTTCTTGATAGTAATTATTGGTGTCATTTTTTGTTAAGTCAAAAAATAGAAAAATATTTTATGTTACTATAAGATTTTGCAATCAACCTTTTATTTAATTGATCAACATATTTATTTATGCTAGCTAAGATATCTTTCTAATTCTATCATGCGATTTGCACAAATTGCGTTTTAATCTAATGATGGAATATATTTCTTATTAAATGCACTAATATAACCATTGGGATTGATAACCAAGTGTTCGGGAAGAACAAAATCATCTTTTATTGGATGCTTTTCTTCGTTTCCAACACGAGGTAAGAGACATTAAATACTGGCTCTATTATTACTTTGTATTTCTTGTCAGTTGAATCTCTTTCATTTGAGGCCAGAAGTATAACTTTGGCAAGCTAGCTTTTATGTGTCGATTTTGGAACTAATGGTAGTACTTGACATTGTAATGACCCGGCCAGTCGTTTTAAGTATTAACGCCCCAATCCCTTGTTAACTACTTTTCCCATGTTAGATTCTGCTATTTTGATTTGCCGGGATGTTTGGTTCTGATTTTCGGAGTATTTTGGGACACTTAGTCCCTAAAAGAGAGCTTAAGCTTTAGCATTTGGACCGTA